AAATTTTTTTTGTGAAACTTTGTGATATGAGTATAATAAAAGGGGTGGATTTGCCTTTAATATGTTATTTTTCCCTGTAGTAATACCATATTGTTCCAAAGCATGAACCTCGTTCTTGAAAGATGTGATCCTGCTCTGCTTAGGTGCATTGTTTTGAAGATAACTCTTCAAAGAATAGATCCTTACAATCATTCTTTCTTGATGTCTATGAAGGAAAAGTCCACAATTTGATGTGGATATGGTATTCTCCCTTTGTTTATCGATATCCTTCTATCTTCACGGATTTTGCCTCTTTGGCAACTTTCTAGCCAGCTAAGAATTTGAGTATTTTAAGCAAATGGGGGTGATGGTTCATAGAATGCACATGAAAACCTAAAAATCAGGATATTGTGAGTTTGTGACAAAATCATGGTCGAGCTGGTTGTGTATGTGACCTTTTTGAAGTCCACTCTCATAAGCAATTAAAAGCTGTGAAAATTTTCATGCCCATTACAGAAACACACATAAAGATATGATGATGCATACTCCAGCAGCGCCCTTACGATGAAAATTTAGTTGTGTGGTAATCAGTTTATAAATCATAGATATATTGTAAAAGTGAATGTATTATTCTTCAGAGTAGTTGCTTTACCTCATTCATATTTTAATCTGCCTGTGATCTGATGAAACCTCTCCTTTGTAGGTGTCAAGGTCAATTGGTGACGTCTACTTGAAGAAACCTGAGTTTAACAGAGATCCGCTCTTCCACCATTTCGGTATACCTGTTCCTTTAAAGAGACCTGTTATGACAGCAGAACCCTCGATATTAGTTCGGAAGTTACAGCCACAGGACATGTTTTTGATATTTGCAACAGATGGTCTCTGGGAGCATTTGAGTGATGAAGCAGCTGTTAAAATCGTCTCAAAGAATTCAAGAGTTGTAAGTCCCTGGCAAAAATTATATGTGTTGATGTTCATTTATAAAACTAACTATAAAATTATAAGATATTAAGAGTTGCTTCAATTTTAACTACAGGGAATAGCAAAGCGGTTGGTCAGAGCTGCGATTGAGGAGGCTGCAAGGAAAAGAGAATTGAGATATGAGGACATAAAAAGAATTGAAAAGGGGGTAAGGCGCCATTTCCATGATGACTTCACCGTCATAGTGATATTCCTGGATCATTCACAAGTTTCCCCAAATGCTAGTTTGACGGATCCGAGCCTCTTCAACTGCACCAGTGTTCCTGTTGATATCTTCTCCATGAACGGCGATGAAGCCGATGTATCACTCCACACCATTCCCTGAGAATATCAGTTGCACAAGAACATGCACCTTTGTGTAAATAAAATGAGAATTTATAAGTAGGTGCAGCAGGCTGCTAGATTTTACAGGAAGGGTTTGGTTGTGTACATAGTTTGGTGGCAGATTGAAGGTGCTGTTGACTTCTCAGCACTGAGCTTTGACCTCATTTTCAGCTCTCTTTCTCGTCGGCGTATAATTTGTTGTGATTTACACATGATGTATATACTGGGATTTATCTACTGAGATTAAAATTTGCAACTCAGTCCTGATAATTTGAAAAACTTTATGACATTATACAACTCATTTCTTCTTCCCTTTTTCTCTTTTGCCCCCTCAATATCTTGTGCGAATGAGCTTGAATATGTGTTCATCTTTCACCGACCAACATTTAATAACTATATATTAAAAATTATACAACTGAGAGAGGGAAGGGGCTGCCAGATTCCGACAAAGTGAGAGAGGAGAGAGAGAGGAGATAGGTTTTTATTTAATTTTTTAATATTTAATTACACCTAAGCTAAAAAGGTAGACTTTGCGTTTGCCACATCATCACTTAACAGAAGACCAAACAGTCAAAGTAGTCGAATTTTAAAACATTAGGGCGTAAATTAATAAAATTAAACCCCGGTGGCCCATTAAATTAATAAAATTAAACTTCGGTGGCCCATTTTAAGAATAACCTCAAATTTTAAGAGGGTAAAATAATGTTAGCCCATTAACACAAACAATACAAGAATCCTATGAGAGTGGCATTGTGGCATAATATATTCCCCCAATGTTCTTTTATTTTTTTCCTAAACATCGACCCTCTCACGAATTCTCAAGGTTGGTTTTTCTCCTTGGATTGTGTTAGCGAACTATTATCAACCGTTGATGTATCATAGAATTCACCTGCTCAACAAAAGCAAATTCCTTGGCATAGCTAGAAGTATAATACTTTGTACAACCATAAAGTATACATATATATATATATATACACATACATATACATACATGTTTTTGTTTGTAAAAAATAAGAAGAAGAAAAAGTATATGATTCATGAAGTTTAGTAGGTATATGATCGCTCTGCTCCACAGTGGTTTAGCTAGGATCCAGGCAGGCCCCAGCTCTACAGTAGATTACGTAATCAGTGTAGTTGTGGAAGCTTGCCCTTGTGGCAGGGCAGATGTTGTCGTCCCCTGCATGGCCGCAGCCCGCGGAGTTTATACTCGCATTTTTGAAAAAGAGAACTGGTGCACAAGTACCCATACCATACTTGTGCATTTTTTATCAAGAGAATTGGTTCGATTTACTCCTCCCCAAATATCGCTTATATTAGACAAATAAAAACCTTTATCTCTTGTTATCAAAAAAAAAAAACCTTTATCTCTTTTAAAACAAAAATTAAGCAAATTCATAAGGATCTCCGAATTTACATAATATTTAAAAAAATGGACGTAAATACTTTTAATCGTTTGAGTTACAAATTCATTTGATCAGTAAGTATTCATAAAATACAAACTCTTTGAGTTTTCAGTTACATGACAACAGAAGGGTGAATTTTTAATTTTCTGTTTTTGTTTTTGTTTTTATGGTGTCGAGGTGTACAGTGGCCAAAATATCAGCTAATAATTGCTGATTATTTTAGGTCCGTTGATGAAGGGAGCGATATGATAAGTAAAGAGCTGAATATTCAACAGTCTCAACTTTGTATTATTGTCCACAACAAAACGTGGAATATTCCAAATTTCCCTTTTCTGGAAATATTTCCAACTTTCAATGAGTGAGAGAGAGATGTGAATAGCCTTCATACAATGTATTGGTCACCATTCAAACCGTAGACACATCTGGAATGAGGGATTTGTTTTTAGTTACATTTCTGGAGTGCCAGTTTCAAATTTATAGTTACGCTTACGCATTTGTGATCAGAACTAACAAACTAAACCAATTGACTTTGCCATCTTCCTAGTTTTTTTTTAACAATCTTTATTCCAAAATACTAATTCATTGTTCCACTATGCCCACTGGTACCATGGCTCATGGTCCTATAAGCCACTTGAACTATGAGTCAATGTCATAGACATAGAAATACATAAAAAGAATTCTTTATAATATGGAAAATGGTAATACTAGGGAGATCATTTATTTGTACCATATTTGTGTACCAACTGATGTGGCTGTTGAGTTGGCTATGCCACATCATTAAATGAGTTTTTAATATTTTTTATTTTTTATTTTTTTCACCTTCCACTTTACAGAAACCTAAGCCCCATACTTGAAGTCTTTGGTTCTTTCTACGGATGGCTGATGTGGTGGTCTCATAACTAGCTATTTTTGGTTCTTTGTTCAGAATCTGGGATGTGGCTGTGTTTATAGCAGGATTTTTGGGTTGGGTGAAGGGGTAGAG